TGCCTGGCCATACTAATTTTGGTATTCCCGATAGATCGTGGCAACCACCCGTTGCTGTTTTAGAGACTACGTAAGTATACATAGTGATAAATATTGATTTTAAAATAATAAATGGAAATTCAGCTTATTGTGTATTCTTATATTTTCAGAATGGGTACGATAATAATGGAAATGTATTGGAAACACGCGCCTATAACGTGTAGAAACTTCATGGAGTTGATTCGGAGAGGTTACTACGACAATACAACATTTCACAGAGTCATCAGAGACTTCATGATACAAGGTGGAGATCCTACTGGCACAGGAAAAGGCGGACAGTCTATATACGGCCCTCAGTTCGACGATGAAATTGCACACGATTTGAAGCACTCGGGAGCTGGTATATTGTCAATGGCAAATGCTGGGCCAGACACCAATGGCTCTCAGTTCTTTATTACCCTAGCTCCTACTCAGTGGTTAGATGGAAAGCACACAATCTTTGGCAGGGTTCAGAGTGGAATGTCTGTAGTGAAACGAATAGGGTTGGTAGAGTGTGATAGAGATGACTGCCCCGTAGATGAAGTAAGAATAGACAGAGCCTATATTCCTCAGTAATGCTGATAGTGAATTTATTTTAAAGTGCTGAATTGAGTGCTGAAATTTTAAATTTATTTTAAACTGTTTTGATGAAATTTTTTATTATAGATCTATTTGTTTTGGAGGATGGTTAAAACATTTTACAAATGATCAATGTGAGTTTTATCTATAACTAGCTGGTGACTATGACTTCGTTCGAGTGGAATTTAAAATGCGCTGCCTTAGTGGGTTCGACTTCCTGACCGGGCAAAATTTTGTACGGGTTTTCTGAGAGAGAAAATAACCTACGTTACTTCTTACTTAGACAGCTACCTAGTAGTAAAATGGTATCAAAATAGGGAATATGCATGTGACACCAAAATGGACAAAATATTTTTATTTGTAATTTTCATTGCTAAAAGAAGATACCCATACAATTATTTTTGAAATTTATTATAATTTAATAGTGAAATTTAATCATCAAAAATTGGCTTTTTTAAGATTCCCTCGCAAATTTCTAAAACGCAACGCTATTGGTTGAATAAAACGTGACGTCAACCTACACTGTCAAGAGTGTCAACAAGTTGTGTGTATTTGTAATATTTGGTTTCTGGTGATGATTTGTTTCATTTTAAGTTAATAACTAATACGTTTTCAGTGTTAAATTATTAAATTCCCGTGTGGAAAGACTCAACACAATGACTGAATATACTTTGTCAAGTGCAGTTTTGATATTATTTTGGCACATAGGAACGGCACAATATTTATAATAAGTTTTTATTGGCTTTTCCATGGTAATAAGTTAATTTATATCACTCACTTTTTTAACTATCACAAACTTTGTGAACTTCACTCCGTTGTTGACATCGAATTCGTCTGAAAGTGTAGTCTGACGTCACAAAAAAAGCGCGCCAAAATGGACGTGTTCAAATTGCCCCAAAATGATAGTGATATTAATAATTTTTTTTTTGCTTAACGGTTTATATTTCGGTAGTGTTATATTTATTTTTGGTAATGTAATAGCGAGTAGAATCGTTTAAAAAAATACAAAAAATACATGCATATTCCCTATTGGTCAAGCCCTTTTGAAGAGTATCTGGAACAAACGGACAGACAGACAAAAAATGTTTAAACTGGTTTTTAGGCTATGTATCCTGTAAATAATTGTGTGAGCATGGAAAAAACCTATTATTTAGACACTTCAATTTTATTTATTTGTATAGATATACATATATCCATCAAATATTGTTTAAGATTTTAGACTAATAACAGTAGATTATGCTCCGTAAGGGCACAGTAGTAACTACCAAAAGATCACTCAGGTTTTTTAAATGTACTTTCTAGCAAATAAGCCTTATTTTGAGCTATATAAGATTTACTTATTGGTTTAATCTTATGTTTTTTTAGTTTTGTTTATTTATGATGATGTTATGGACAAACAGTGGTTTACTAGTCATGTAGGAATAGTATTATAGTAATGTTTTATGTCAAATTGAAATTACTAATGTGTCATTCTACTGCACAAGGGTATTTTTTAATTTGTGACACTGTACCAATATTTTTATATTTATTTATTACTGTGTATTAAATTCCAATTATACTTAAAAGTATAAGTGTATACTTACTTATAAATTTAAGATTAGTAGATCATGCAATCCAATTGTATCCATATGATAAATTTATTTAATTCATAACATTAATACAATTAAATATGTAAAAAATTACTTTTTTTATTTATCCTGTCAGTATTACATACCAACCAAATAAATGATCAAATTACTATAATAATAATAATAATCTACCACATTCACACAACGCCATCTAGTCCCAAACTAAGCAGAGCTTGTACTATGGGTACTAGACAACTGATATAAAAACATATATACTTTTTTTTTGTAAATACATATTATATATAGAAACACCCAGATCAAATCAAACATCAAATGTTCATGCACACAAACGTTTGACTTGAGCGGGAATCGAACCCGCGACCTTTTAAATAGCAGTCCATTACACAAACCACCACACCATCCGGTCGTCAAGACTGTGCGAATGATGTCAATAACTAAGAGCAAAATAATGCTGCAAGTCCTGAACACACTCTCCAGTCTCAATCAGGTGAGTCGTCACATAATTATTTGTTCTGGGTGGGCATCAAATCCACCTTTAACTTAGCAGTCGGAATCACTAACCACTAGACTTGACCACACCCTGTTGGTCCTGTCAGCCTTTAATAGTCCACTGCTGGACATAGGCCTCTCCTTAGAAAGGAGGTTTTGGCCTACTATACCACGCTGGCCAGATGGGTCGGTATAGGGTTTGTGTCAAATTTTCCTTCTCTCTGCAGTGCTGTTGTTCTGCGTGGTTTTCTCAATAGTCGTCTCTTACGACACCCACGGGATGAATAGGGGTGGTGACACTCTGTATTCTTAATCCGTCACCACACGGACATAGCATTTTGATATTAAACTTTATTTGTACCATGTGGTAGGTACCTCCTGTCTGCTATGCTAACAATAGACTTAGTTGTCAGCCCCAGGTCATGTAGGTCAAAAGATGGTTTGTATTTATATATATAATGATTTTTTAACTTTATTTAAGGTTGGTTTCCACATATTATAACAAGACAAATCCTTTAAAAAAATAAACTAAGCACTAAGAATCTAGTAGCAATTGCGGTTTATGTGCTGTCATTTTTTAAAGAGTTACTTTGTTTTCCAACGGTGATGTGGGTGTCCAATAAGACTTAAACAAGAATTGAAGTTGGAAGGTGTTGGGAGGTTATTTATTGCTTTTTCTAATAAGTGTAAATAAAAAAATAATAAATGTGTTACTATCTAATTTTATTGCTGGAAGAAAACATTTGTACGGGAGATATTTCAATTGTACAAAAAAATTACTAATATTTTCTAGATCAGATATTCTTTAAGGCATAGTACAGTATATAACATATTTTTTTTTGTTTAACAATAGCTTAATGGGCAGTAAATAGATTAGAAATTAGGGATTATACCATCAACAAGTGTCAAAAAGCCCTAAATTATATATTTTATGGATTCTAACCTGTGTGTACAATCAACGCAGATACCGGCAATGTCCAAATTTTAATCTTTAATACACAATTGTATGGTGTATTCCTTTTCCTGTCTTATTTGTTAGAGCTTACAAATCTTCTGTATTTGTATGTTTCGGTACTCTTAGCTGGTTTTAACATTCACCAAGACTCTTTTTATCTCTTACATATTATATCGCCACATAAAAAAAAGGAAACTACAAAACCAAATGTCTAGTTTCCCGAAACTAACATTCCTGTCTATATAATTTTTCATTTCCTTTATTTGTTTATATGTACTAAATATTATAATATTTAAAAAACTTAAAAAGAATTACAAAATAAAAATTCATGACAATAGCTGCAGAAAATTTCTATTTATCTTATAATTAAATATAAAAATAAAACTTACGTAATATAATTTTGAGGACGGTTTTTGGACGGAATCATAAGTAGTTATCACTTAGGCTCACGTAAACATTATTCCTTTTGATATGATATTTACAAGATAATTGTTGTACCAAAGGGTTGCAATTTCATATCATGTTCCATTTGGAGTACAATTTTGTGTAATCGTGACGCCAATACATAACTGTTATAAAGCAAGCTTGTAAAAACTTGTCAAGGATAGCATCAGGAGTCTAAATAGGATTCAAAGGAGATTCCAATTAGAACTTTGATTACAAATTAAAAAAAAAATCTGTCAATTCACAACTTAACTTTAAATACTACACAGATGTAATCAATGTAAGTTTGACGCCATAAACCAAATAGTTTTTAGAGCTTAGATAAATTGAAATAATAGTTGCCATGCTTTGTATTATATTGAAATAAATTAAAATTGCAACCCTTTTTATGAACGAGTTAGGCACATGCGGTTTCTAGCCTACTTTGATAAACAAAATATTACATTAAGTAGCCACACTACATTTACATCTTACTAGAGTTGATACAAAGTCATTAATAAGAAAAATTAATGCATATTAAGTGCAGTCTTTTTAAAATTATATCTTATACTAGATGTGTGTTTGGTTGGTGACCACCATATACTGCTGTTTTCATTTGTTAGTAAGATATTTTGATTATTGTAAGGCAAGGAATGTAAAAGTATGTAATCTCAGAAATGACATCTTCAACGGTTGCAATAATAAATTGATTACTAGTAAGTTACGGTCACATACTCTAACATGCTATGCAAAAAAGACCATATTTTATTAAGCATATGATACCTTTTGTTCATATGCTTCATCTTCATTCCAGTATTCCTGGTCATTGATCGTATTATGACGGAGCCTGCACCAGCGTGATCCAAATCTTAACATCAGTATAATAACCATCAAAACAAACAGAGAGAGAATAGCTACGGCTGGGTACATCATCAGGAATGCCATGATTATATATCACTTTCGCGTTTGTGCAGTTCTAAGTATTCCTGGGAAGATGTGAGGGGTTGTTGTGAGACTGACGGTGGTACAGCCTGACGGTGAGCTTCACGGTAATCTTCACTGCTATCGTTGAATCTATGAATGTAGTGCACTTCTTGGAAGTTGCTTTCCAGCTCTGTGAAGTCTAGAGGTGGCTGCTTGTGCGGTGTAGCTGACCAAATTGATACAAGCCAACGATTACCTGAAGAGAGGAAAAGATAGAAACTGATTCAAGTAATAGAACAAATATCAAAAGCAACATTTATAAAAGAGATATAAATAATCCGTTGCTTCAATTTGTTTTTGGTTATTATTTTACGTCTGTGTGTAAGGCACAAAATTGACGGGGGATAACTTAGGCTCAGGCATATCTCATTATTACGTACCACAATCACAACTGACCTAAAATCAGTATCTCATAACTAAGTACAATGTTTACCTGTATGCCTGTCCAGCCAATAATCCGAGTACCGTGAACAACAGCAGATGACGTTCAATAGAATAATACTGCCGAGAATTACTGTGCAGATCGCAATCGCTATGTAAAATGGAGTAAAATCACCAACTTTCGATATTAGAGGATTTACAGGTCTGTATGTCCCATTCCCTGTAAAGTAAGGATTATATTCATATGTCGACATTATTCTTTATTAACCGGAAACAACCTGTAGAAGAAAAAAACGCGATAAAGAACTAAGCTTTAAAAGAAACACTAACTGTTTTAAGGACCGCGCCTAGTCAACGGTTGACAATAGCTAGCTGTACTGTTAGGTAGGGCGTGGTGTACGCAATTTACTATAATTTTAAAGAAACACTACATTTTTTATCCTTAAAATAGTAACCATTTCTAATTATTATGAAAGGATCTTTGTTGACTAAAGTTTTATTTGATAAAATTAGAAATTTAATTATAAATAAATAAGTAACCGTACCGCTTCTCAAACTGGCGTCATGTCAGACAGACTAAATAATATTCAGTGTTGCCAACAGTTTAAATGAACTCTCCACCAGATTCAACATCTAAAACCATCAGAAAACCACTAACGAAAACGACCCTAATCTAATAGGTACTAAATTTTCCACTTATTTTTTTTTAAATAATTACGAAAGAAAACCTTAAGTATTTTTTCATTTTTTTTATTTTTTTTTATTTTTTTTTATTTTTTCTTACAAAAGTATTCCAAGTTTACAGTAGTATTCCAAGGCGATATTGTAGCCACATTAATTAAACTTAAGCCAAACTAAACCAAATTACAAACTAAATTAACAAATTTTACTTAGTGCTATAATTGTAAATTCACTCAGAGAACAACAAAATATATCCACATCGTCAGCTATGAGGTTGAGTGTGCGCAGCGCGCGCGTCAAAGGTGCCTCGCGTAGTAAGTTAGTGCGTGCGCGCGGCACCGCCAGAAGGCGCGGTCGCCGCCGACGTCCCGCGTAGCCGTCTGGGACACACAGACCCACCCTCTCTAATACATCTGCTTTATGTATTCCCCCTCTAATCACATTAAAGATATAGGTTACGAGTGTGAGTTCCCTCCTGACCCTCAGTTCATTATATCCAACCATACCTAATATAAACAGGGTAGGATACATTAACGGATAAAAAGGATAGACTCCGTACAACTTCATGTAAATAAATCTAATAAATTTATTTTGCACCCGCTCCAACATGAGACTATATTTAGTCTCATGTGGAGCCCAGATAACTGCATTACACTCCAGTTGGCTCCTAACTAAAGCATTATATAATGCTGTAACAGCTTTTATATTGGTAAAATCTTTAGCCATACGAAAGTACCAACCCCAAGTTCCTATAAGCTTTTTACAGACTTTGAGTACGTGATCACGAAACGCTAGCTCAGTGGTAAAACGCACTCCCAAATCCCTCACTTCAGTTACCCTGGTCATTTCAGTCCCCTCCATCGTGTACTTGTGTTGGATAGGTGTGCGTGCACGTGAGAATGAGATAGTCAACACACTTCGACACGTTAAACTGCAACCGATTCTGCTTGCTCCAACTAACGACTCTGTCTATGTCCCTCTGCAGCTTTCACAATCTGCCATGCTTCCAACAGCGAGAGGACAATTTCAGGTCATCTGCAAATAACAAACACTTGGCCTCTTGTATGACACTCGGCAGATCGTTAACATTAATAAAAACTCCAAAGGACCCAAGTTACTTCTAAGATCTAGTAAAATAATGGTCGCGTTTGGTGTCCTGCATGCTCCACATATTGCTGCCTGTCACTCATATAACTTGCAAAGAAGTTAAGTAGATGCGGAGTGAATCCGACGCCTGCCAACTTCTTCAGCAACATGTCATTATCGACCAAGTCGAAAGCTTTTTTGAAGTCGAAGTATGCGGCGTCGATCCTGCCCACCATTGTCCACTGTTGGTACCATTTCCATTACGTAGCTTAGAAGATTACTTGTGGTACTTCTTGCAGGTCGAAATCCGTGTTGCGCGTCTGAAAGTTGTGAACGCACTTGGAGATATATATTTTTCTGAACAGCTGATTCCAGTACCTTTGCCGGTGTTGACAGTACCGCAACTGGTCTATATTCCTCTACTGTAGTACCCGAACCTCCCTTCGGTACCGGTATGACCCGGGTCATCTTCCACCTTTCTGGAAACACCGCAGACGCAAGGCCAATATTAAAGATGTGCAATAGCGGCTGCGCTAGGATCTTACGACAATCCTTAAATATGTATGGTGGCAGACCATCAGGTCCCGACGACTTTTTTGGTTTCAATCGTCGTAGCGCGCACATTACGTCATCTAATTGTAGTCTGTCTGAGATGAATTCGCGCCGCTCCGTTGACTGTTCCTTGCCTCCACTATCGCTCTATCCACATCCAACCTGGGCTTCTCCCTTGGTATAGACAGAGTAGAAATACTTAGCAAAGTCATCAGCTGCTTGTTCACCCTTCAAGGCCAGTCCGTCCTTTAAAATTCTTACCCTGCTCCTATTTCCTCTTTTGGAATTTATATAATTCCAAAAAGATTTTGGGTCGCTTGCCATGTGATTTTGTACCACGCTGCCTATGTTGTTCTTGTGCCGTTTTCAGCCTATTTTTGACTAGAGTTCTACACTGAGCAAACGCCTCGTAATCCACTCTTGAACCAGTAGCCTTATACTGTTTGTGAAGAGTGGCTTTTCGTCTTATGTCGCGAATTATCTCACTCGTATACCACTCAGGATAAATGTATCCGGGGCGTATACGACTTCGCTTTTTTTTGGGTACACAGCCTATCTATAATTGTAATTAAAGTATCATAAAAATAATTTAAAACTCATTTCCAATTCAAAGCAGTTATATAAAGGAGTCCAGTCAATTGCAGCAATCTTTGAGTACAACCAATGTAAAATCTGCTTTGTTTAAATTCCAACCGTTCTGTGTGTTTACGTCCGATCTAAATGAGTCATAGCTCGCCCCTGCATTAGTACTCCGATGCCCACACGATCTGACTGACACCTGCAACGGCGGATGGTATGCATCTACCGCGGTTAGTGGCTCCTCAGCCGCACGCACGCACACACACTCTCCCTCCACGTAAGTGGTCAACACGAGATCTAGGCAACGGCTATTGCAATTCAATATTTATTGCTCTGAGTGAATCCGCAATAAGTTACAAAATAATCATAGTAATTAATTATACTTGTAGTACAGGAATATAAATTAAAATCACCCAACACGACTACTTCGTTGTAAGTAGTACAATACTGTTCTATAATTTTTGAATAATGACAAGAATTCATTTTCACTACTATTTGGCGGTATATATACTACACAAACTAGAAACAAAAACCCTATTACCTAAATAGACTGTAAGCGCTTACTATTTCGAATACTTCGATTGTCAATTTTTACGTCGCATGGAACCGGTATTCTTCGCAGCTCGAGACGCGGTTGTGGCCACTAAACACGCGCCGCCTTGTTTTCGCCCATCCGCTCTGTCACACCTTAACATTGTGTACCCGGGAGGTATGATTTCCGCGTCGCAAATGGATTCGTTTAGGCCCGTTTCTGTTATAGCGAGTAAATCTGCGTTAGATGATGATACTCCCACATAAAACTCCTCCAATTTTGTTCGTAAGCCTCTCACGTTCTGGTAATAAATTTCCACCATAGACTTATTCCGGTTTTTTTATGGGGTGGTCTACGAAACTCTACTTCACTGGCCAAATCTCCGGTTGACATAGCTTGTCATATTTACTCTCCGGTATGCCAATAATAAAGGAAGCATAGTCCCTTTCTGTCCTATGCTTAAGTCTTTCCAACTTTAACTGATACTTGCGACCCACATACAACTTTTTACATATTTTCCCAAATCTTCTTCTGTAGTTTCCTTCTGCAAACGCCAAACATGTAAGAATTTCTTCTTTTCTATGCCTCTGAATTTCATTTACAGTCATATTTCCCCCTCTCTTTCACTTCACCGTTGGAATATTTGTTTTTTCTTCTATCTACTACTGTCCAGTTCTCATTTTTATCAGTTACCTCCTTCTCCTTTTCATTGACCTTATCTACTAAACTCTTGTTGACTTTCGTTTTCCTCTATGTATTAGTACGGGGTTCCTTAAAGTCTGTGATCACATTTGTTGATTTCGTGGCCCCACACTTTGTTGAGTCGGTTTTGTTAATTACCCGCCTATTATTATTTTTCACTACATCAACAAACAATTCCGCTGACGGCGAATTTTGTAGTCTTTGTCTGTGATAACTCAGTATTATCCCGTGCTGGATTGTTCTTAAGGATTCTATTCAGAAGCAATTCATTTTTCTTTAACAGAATTTTGACTTGTTCTTCCAATACATCTACTTTATTGGCCTTCTCTTGAACTACCTCCATTATTTTTCTTAAGTTCTTCAAATCAGTTTCAGTTTCTATAAATCTATTTTGCAGCATTACGTACATATTAATTTTGTTCATCCAATCGCGTAGTCATTACCAAACGAAAACTCTCGTACCTCCTCCAGTAGCTTGTTTTCGCACTCCATGATCGACTCGTTCCGTTTGCGACGGACTGCCGCGCTCAGTGTTTACGTAGCAGTCGCTCGCGTCGGGTGTGAACGTTTTATTCGCAATAAAGTTTCCCCTCACTGGTGTATCTGTATTGCCTCTCTTGGGAAATAGTTCGTACACATTCCGGACACACCCAGTTTTCCTTGTACTCCAACGTAAATGATTCGAACTTCTTCCGTTGTCAAAGCTAGACATTTCAAATGGTATAGTCTCTTGCATTGTTCTTGAGAACACTCCATGTAAAAAATATCATAGATAACGGCTTCGCAGCCGTTGCAAATCGTAGCCATTCAGTGATACGCTAGTGATTTAAAAAAGCCGATCGTAAGACACGTCCGATCGCTTCCGCGTACGCGTACTTTAGTATATTAATAACTAGTTTTGTTTCACATCAACGGTCTATAATAGTCCCCAGCTGAACGTGGCCTCCCCTTAGAAATAAGGTTTCCTTGATTAAAATTTAATAGATACTCATACTAAAAGTTTTTAAGTTTGACGTGTGTGTGTGTGTCTGCTTCTGGCATCGTAGCTCCCAAACAGATGAACCGATTTTGATTTTGATTTTTTTTTGTTTTGAAAGGTGAATTAGTCGGGAGAGTTCTTAGCTATGTTTAATGAAAATCGGTCCAAGATGGCCGCCACCACCAAAATGGCTGATATATATTTTTTCACAACTCCCTCAATATGGGTATCAACTGAAAGAGCTTGACTAGTAGACTAGTATCCACTGTTAAATTTCAAATCCAAGATGTTTGTCGGGGTATTTTTGATTATTTCATTTTTTTTTATGTCAGCACCATCATCATTGGTTCCAGATTAATACGATTCTTTGGTACCGTTTATTTTTAACAACGTTTATTGGTCTTTAATATTTTTTGCAGCATTCACCTTCCAATTTCTAACCGCAGCGTATTCTTATCATAGCAGATAAAAGATTTAACTCATTATATTCCTCAAATGACATATTATTTATAAATAAATAATATGTCATTTCAAAATTCAGAAAATGGATCTCCGTCAGTTAAAGGGGGAAAATACAAAATTTACAAAACAAATCCCAATGCACCAGTAAGTATGAAATATATATGAATATTTTTCAAGATAACTGTATATAACTATATAATTATATATAATTATATATAGTTATATATGATTGTATAAAGTTATATATGATTATATATAGTTATATATAATCATATATATCTATATATATCTATCATATATATATATCGTTATATATGATTATATATAATCATATATAACTATGTATAGTTATTAATGATAATATATGGAACTGTCAAGTTAATTATATACAGTTATATATAACTAAATATAATTAGATATAACTATACATAAATATCTCGAGTGACTATATATAATTATATATGATTATTTCTAACTATATATAAAATATATATAATTAAAATATGTAATCTTTATATAATTTTATATGATTATATATAAATTTTTTCCCCGGGTGTTTATACCTATAGTCTCTCAACTCAACATCAGCATTGAAATAAGTCAGTATTAAGAGAGTAATGCCAAAGTTTGCTAATTCCTCAAATGTCGAAGTCCCTTGGCCCCTTTGGCACCTTTGAAGAGCAATGGAAGCACCCCTGGTATGTGGAAGTGCCTTAACACGTTGGACATTGGTAAAGCAACGGACCGAGATTCATTGGTTTGAATGATATCTTCATTTCTCTTCTGCTACTCAACCGGATCATTAATCATAGAGTTGGGCCGTGAATTATATCGCTAGTCTGGCTAGACTCAATCTTGTCAACTTGAATTTTCTGTTATGCCTTCTGGATTACTAACTTCCTGGATTACGTCCTCAAAGCTATAGCCCACATTATTGACTTTTTTCTCGACTCCGAAACCTCTCTCTGGTACAAAACTACAGCATCCCTAATGCCTAAAATTAATATTCCTAATCCTTCCTTTCCTATCAAACGTTCTTGAGGTTTGCGTATCCAAACAGTTCTCAGAAATCATCTTTCAACAGCATTTCCTAAGTCTTCTACAATCTTACTATTACTACTAAACCACTAAAAAATTCACTAGCCATTAAAAGCAAAATTTCGCTTCTAAAAGGCGAGTCGGAATCCACCAGTTTTAATGGAAAATCCACTAGGTTTGACTGCGGCGACAGTGATTTTGTTCTAGAACGAAATTCAATTCATCTCGATATTTTATTAAGAAATATGTTTTTCTGTTCTAAGGAACAAGATAATTTAAATTAACGAGTGACGAGACGAGATATCACTGGCCTTGTCGCATTTAACGATTTCAGAGAGGGTAAAATTAATAATACTTAGTGTCTTTGTTTCAGGAGCTTGAGCCAGCTGTCAACGTTCTAGCACAACGATTGTCGGATCAGTTGTGCTACATGTACTAACTTGTTATAAGAATGACTAATATTTTAGTAAGAAGTATCATTGTTTTACTTTCAAAAACTGAACAAGTCTATATAGCGTGCAGTAATTTGAATTTGGCTATTCAGGTATCACTTCATTTTAGAAAAGGGTTTTCAAATCCTCCTTTTCTTAACAAACCGCTACTGTAACTACTACTATTATTTGTACTATTATTTGTTAGTATCTTCAGGTAACGTTGATATTTCTTTGATGTGGTTTATTGAAACACTCATTTATTTACTTAATGTTTTATTTATCCTGGATTAAGTACTTACAATATCAGTCCTTTGTGATTAGGTACATAGGTACAATGACAGCTGAGCTTGGCGTGTATAAGACATCTTGCATCCAAACGGCAGATTTGTAGTTTATATTTGTAGTTTGGTATTTACGTTCAAGATGTAAGCCTTAATAAAAAAAGTTTTAGTATCACTTGTATGATATTTCACCTATCGACTAGCGAAAGCACATAGTGCAAAATGTAGTATTATTATTATTAATGTACAAGTCTAGTTATATTTACAAGTCGTAGCCTATACATATTGGCTGGTTAACATAAAAACGAGCGATTCTTACAGTAGTTATATTAAAAAAAATGTGTAACATCTGTCATTTCAAGGCCAACTCTAGCACCGCACGCGCCCGTTGGTCAAATCAATTAGCGCGTGCTTCCCCGGCTTCGGCTTCCTGTTACATGCTTCCGTCGTTTTCAGGGTTGCCATTCCCACAGATTCCAGGAAAGCGAGATAAAAGATGTTGCACACACAAAAAAGTAAAGTTGGTATAAATATGCTTGTCTACGTTTGCCTAAATTAAATTCATTATATATTGTGTAACTTATATACAGTAAGTAACAAAAAGGTATTTTAATCATAACAAAATAGAAAACAAGTCTTTTAAGACCGTTTAAGGTAGATCCAGTATAACCGAACAACATTTAAAAGTAAAAATAGTGTTTCTTTTACTTCAATAGATATTACATTTTTGTTGTCTTACAAATAAACCATCTTAAAGAAACCACAGAACTATAAATAATTGTTAAATTAAATATACTTATTGACACTGATATTTGTCAATATCATTTGATCAATAAAATCTAAACCCGTGATCTAAACATAGTAGGAGTGCTGGCTTGTGGGACAAGAGTCCAGCGGAGGTGAGTGCGCTCCGCAGCCGACTAACACACGACATGACGGCACCGGTGACGAGGAATATTGCTGAAATACAATAAAACTATAAGTAAATCTGGGTAGCAAATCTTCCTATCCCTTCTCAGGTTTTCTGTGAGACCGATATAAAATATCCATCGTAAAACACTCTAAGCCTGAGCTACCTTCCAAATTTGTTTTTCCGCCAAGAGGGCAAAAAAATGGTTTAAAAAATCCGATGACCCTGGCCCAAGATCCGCATTTTGGCGGAGTTTGGTTCGTACAATTTTGAGTTAAAGCTTAAAGAAATTACAATAGCTTAGGTTAGAGGAAACACAGTACATATTTAGAAATAGATACTTACATTTTGGCAAGACGCTAATTGATTGACAGTGATATTTGTAGTGCCAAGGACTCGCTCCTCACGAGCGAAATCTGGTTCACGATGAAAAGATCCTGAGAAAATAAAACTAAGTTCATAAGTAAGTATTTACTATAGGAAGAAGTAAGTCTTTATCCGTGTAGTGACGGATTAAGAATACGGAATGTCACTATCCCAATTTATCCCGTGGGTGTCGTAAGAGCCGACTAAGGGCGCAAAACAACGCAGGACACCAACACTGCAAAAAGAAGGAAAACTTGTCACAAACCCTATACCAACCCGTCTGGCCAGCGTGGTATAGGCCAAAACCTTTCTAAGGAGAGGCCTATGTCCAGCAGTGGACTATTAAAGGTAGTTGATGTGATGTGATGATGATAGGAAGAAGAGATAGGCCATAAAACACATTTACGCAAGTACACCCAGCGTTATATAACGAACACAGGCTGAACTGATGCTGCATCGCGATATAAAAGTTCTTACGAGGAAAAATATACTGTGATTGTAAAATCGGATAATTGTAACATTCAGTAGTGCTACTTTATTAAGTCCTTTAAAAATGAATCCTTCTACAAAATATTATTTCTTATTAGCATATCTATATCATCTGTTAGACTCCAGTTTCCGGGCTACGTTTACCCATCTTTTTAAATAGATACTGCCTTGTGGTACCTATTGAATTTCGTGCCAGTTATAGGACGCCATCAACGCTTTTAAACCAAGTGTCGTCTTAGGTTTGTATTTAATTATTTTTTTCAATTGTTTCTAGGTAAATGTTAACCTTGCGATGAGATGAACAAATAAAAGGTAGTAATGTAGAATAAAAAAGCCGTGTGGTGTCGTGGGACACCCGATAGGAACGAAGTTGTGACGATCGAGTAAAACTGATTCGACACGATTTTAATTACAACGCCATCTATGAAAGCGGCTATTACCTACATATTTTTCAGTTGATTTCTAATTAAAACAATTTATACATTGGTAAAATCTCCTTGAGAAATGATGTCGAATACAATATTTTTTGCTCAACCTAAGAACATAAATTTTAATTTTACTGATATGAAAAGTAATGATTTCCTATCTATTTGATAGATGGCGCTGAAGTGACAATTCAAAATAAAAAGTGTCGTTACAACTTTTCGTGAGATTTTTTCCCGTCTAGCCCCCTTTCACAACGCGCGATAAGGAACTTCGTTTCAAAAATTATAATAGTAAAAGACGCAATGGCCGCGGAGCACGTTTGGTGGAGCCCGTGTCTTTGCCCGATACGGTTAGATCGCAAACTGATTATTATAACGCGTGTAATCCGCGCTGTATACAACTTTCCTGATGCAGCTGCTTGTATGAGCGTTGCACCAGAAACTACCATCTTGGCTTTATGGGAGAGCCACGCTTCAGCATGATTGGACCAGTTCAACCGGAGTGACACCGGGCCTCACAGAAAACTGGTATTAAGCAGTTCTCTCCTTGCTTATACCGAGTGAGTGAGATTATCGAAGGTCCAATCGTTCCCTCTACTTCTGACAAGGGGGAAGGGTTTGGGCAGTGTTTGTAACTTACCATCAAGTGACCCGCCTGCTCTACCCGTACTACATAAAAAAAAGCAACTAATTACCATCGGATCTGGGGACGAGATCAGGGTTCAGCTCGGCGTTATCTCGCCTGGACTTCAGTGCTTTAATGCATATTGCAGTGGCTGCAATTGCCACTGCTACTGCTACCACCCCCGCAGCTGCCTCTAGCCACCGCATCCAAGAACGAGTTGGAGCATTCTCTGTTACTGCTGAAGGACATAATATAAATATTGTATGTAGTCATGTACCCTTGTACTAAGTGTATTATAGGAGTAGACTTTTTTTGGTATTCCCAAACGGGTTACTTATCCCATACGTCTGTAATAGAATTGACGTTTTTTTGAAAAGTTTCACCGATTCATCACGCCTTTGATGATTATAATGAATAATGTTTTTTTACCACATTCACACATCGCCATCTAGTCCCAAACTAAGCAGATCATGTACTATGGATACTAGATAACTGATATAAATACATATATACTTTTTTTTTGTAAATACATACATATTATACGTAGAAACGCCGAGGCCAAATCAAACATCAAATGTTTATGCACACAAATGTTTACTTAAGCGGGAATCGAACCCGCGACCTTTGGAATAGCAGTCTGTTACACAAACCAGTACGCCAGTCTGTTACTATTAATACGAGTAGCTTAACATTTGTTATACTCATTAGTTTTGGCCTCAAAACTTATTATCTAGGCAGAAATATTACCTGACGCTGTTAACGGCTTCATAGTCTGTAAATGAATAATCTTCGCCTCACTTCTGCCCCTGGAACTACTCGCGTACACCACTGCAGTTAAATTTCTCTCTTCTTCAACATCAGGTAGATGGAAGTGGCCAGCAGTATCGGAGACATTGTGGAGAACAGTGCCTTCCTCGTCAAGTATTTCTAGGTGAACTATTTGTGGTCGGCCGCCATCCCAAGCTGTAGAAATGCAATTTAATCATTATATTATCTTAAAGCACTTTTTTCATAGTGTGAATCAAACTCGTAACGAAGCTACCTCGGAGGATCAACCTAAGTCCTATAGCCCTGTAGTAGTCAGTTGTTATTCACCAACTCTACTGTTTTTATTCCTAATGAACCATTTCCCATGTAGCGATCATTTATTTGGTGTTTAACCAGATTTAGCCTGTCAGGTAGCCAAGTACTCGACGCTTTAAAATATTATGGTCTTTCGTTTAGGAATATGATTGTGTCCACTAATAACAAATTGCTTGGTTTGTAGTTTCAAATTATAAATGAAAAGACATAGGTAAGAAAAAACCAGTCTATTTCTCATAAAATCAAAGATTATTAATATTTATTTTAAATAAATTCAAAAAAATAGGCATTAAGTCACGTGACAAGCCATTGCCAAGCAGAGTGTTACGTCACACCACGCAAAACATCATTGTTGTTGTTGACGTTTTCATACAACAGAGCAGGTTACTCCCTATTGTTTTTCGTTTTTAGCATATTTAAGCAGTTTTGTTTCGCAGACTGTGACGTCATTTTTTTTTTGTTTGTAAAGTCCCCTGCATTAGGAATATATCCTGTGTCGCGGGGGACTTTACAAACATACATGAAACGGACACAAAGAACATCCAGACTCAGAACAACAATTTGTGGATCACACAAAGTGTCGTCCCATGTGGGGTTCGAACCCTCAACACTCAGTGTAGTACCTAAGCGACTGCTTAAACCACTACGCCATCCGTACATTCAAGACGCCATAACACTGTTCAGCGTTTCAAGCGAAATTTAAATTGTTTTTTTTTAATACAAAGTACCTACGTAATGTAAATATTGCTTTTTTTTTAATAAAGGTTTTTTGTGATAAAATAGATATTAAAGTATATAATTAACCAAGTTTTCAAATTGAGACAACTGGCCTATTACCTACATCTCTTATTTGCAATTAGTTATGGATTAACAATTAAACAATTCATATTTATCCACAATGGTGCCGATTCTGTTGTTCGAAAACTCTCTAAACTAAACTAAAAATCACTAAAAAATTGTTTAGTCCTGTCAAACAACGTTTCCTATTCTGAAAACGTAATAATTTTTTTTAGCGATTTTTAGTTTAGTTTAGAGAGTTTTCGAACAACAGAATTAGCACCACTGTCTAGCAGCAAGAAGCAATAAGAAGCAGCGATGAGATAGCGACCGTTATTGTTAAATCCGTGGGTTATTTGATATGTCATCACCTGAGTTACATTTACATCATTTATTTAAGATCTCTTTTCCTTCGGGATCTTTGCTATCATTTTTTTATGATTACTTTTTAACATACTCAAGTATTTGATCCCTTCATTTATATTTCTGTATACAAACTTTGGTGAACCTAAATAAATAAATAAAAAAAATATTGTTTGTTTTTGTGTTATTCATGAAACTAATTTAATTACTACTGTCAAGTTTTACCTTCAATCAATTTATATTTGTACGCTTTCCACGACAAAACAACTAACCTATTGAACTGTTTAGAATTAATTTCCTGTAAACTACACATGTTTGAAGCAAATAAATATTTATTATTATTATTCTCTTTGTATCATTTTAAAATATATATTGATTACATTTTTAAATATATTACAAAAGAAAAAATAAATTTAAAAATAGTAGAACACCGACGGTCAGTGACCAAGACACCGGTGGTGACGGTGATTATTATTATTTGGTCATTTTACCTTTTTTACATTGCACTCTCAAAGCACTTGGGTAAGATCTGAGCACCACACAGTCAGGAGTTATCGGAGGGCCTCCAGGTGAGATGGTGTAGCTGCAGGGTCGTTTCTGTTCTCCGAAGGCATTAGTGGCTCTGCAGAGGAGGAGTCCAATATCTCCATCGCGGGATAGCCAGGTCAAGGTTGAAGAGTAACGATGACGGTGGCCGGCAACTTTCTGGAATGACAAAACTTTTATTTGTAACTTTGGTAGCGTGTGTTATGTGACCAATCCCAATGTAGGTTATGGCGTTTTAATATTTTGCCTTTCTCAGCAATATTCCACTCAGTATTTCATACAGGGTTTATTCTGTTCTGTTTTCCCTCGACATGATTCGATCATTTCCAGTTAATGATTCAAATGTGAATTTTCAATGATATTTGTATTCCATTCTAATAAAACATTTGGGTACAAATTTTCGTCGTTAGGTAGTTTTAGAAGAGTTAAAAACACAGGTAAACCATTTTATTTTTACTCGACTGGGTCAGAAGAAGTAGGTACCTATATATTTTCACGCAATTGGATTTTTGCCCTTTTCAATAATTATATGGCTTGTTACGCAGTTTGAACACTTGAAATCCGAGGTTATTAATTATTTGGAGGTAGTTAAAAAGCTTGGAAGTGTCCTTGTGGTGACGGATTAAGAATACGGAATGTCACCACCCCTATTCTTTAAAGAGAAGGAAAACTTGAAACAAACCCTATACCAAACCGTCTGGCCAGCGTGGTATAGTAGGCCAAAACCTCTTTTCTAAGGAAAGGCCTATGTCCAGCAGTGGACCGTTATAGGCTGTGTATGATGATGATGAAGTTATAACTCAATGTAAAGTATGCATAGAATCGTAGTAGCACTTAAATTGATATCATTACAGCAGTATTTGGTTATCAGCTATTTGGATTGAAATTTTCAAGGTCTTATTTACTCTAGGTATTCTTATGTGGAGGTGGAAACTACTTACTGTAACGCTTGTGTATAAAGTTTTAGAGTCAGCAAAAGTCCAGCTGAACTGCAGCGGTTCTGGAGACGCATCCACCATGCACGTCACTGTCTCAGCTTCTCGGCGCACAGCTCCGATAGTCTCCTCTCGAGTCGTGAGACACGTTGGACGATCTGGAATTTTAGGCCAGAAAATATAAGAGTACGAAATTGCATACAGAAAGTTCACTTTTTAATTTGAATTAATTATAAGAAAGAAACCTTTGGTAGTTCGCAATAAGGTTCAAAATAAAATGTCTATATAAATATTACAGTGAAATTAGTCTCGAGAAATTTTTGCATATGTAGTGGTGTGTATATTACTCAGATCTTAGAGCGCGTTTCCACTATATCGTTCTGGCCTATACAAAAATGTTTCGATATCCTAACATTACTATTTAATTTTATACTTATCCCTAGCAACACTCTGGATTTTTGTTTTCAATAAAAACAAGTTTTTATTTTAAAGAAAAAGGTTTTGACTTTATCTAGGTTTTTAAAACTCCGGGGGTTCTACGGGGGGGGTCAAAATTTTTGTTATTTTTTGGCCTAGGATGCACCGTTTCCGAGATATTTCAATGTAAAGCAAAAAATCGTCACTTGATAGTGGAAAGTGGAAACACGCACAAAACCAGAATAAACCAGTTTACGCTACCATACACTACTACAAACGCAAAAATTTCTCCAAGCTAATTTACCTGTATGTACTTAGATCCAACGTTCAAAGTGACTCTGTCTTCAAACACTGAGGTTGGCAGGTGTGAGTTGTGTGCTCTACAGACGAGCTCGTGCTTGCTGTCACGTAGAGATGGCGCTAGTGTCAGCGACGATACTGTGTAGTTTCCATCATGAAGTTCCTGTGTGGAAAAGTGCTAATTTTTTTTTATCATTTTTCATTGTTTATTTCTTAGTGGCGTGTTTACCCTAACCACGAGGGCAGAAGCGCGGCCGGTGTTTTCGCAGAGTTTTTGCCATAAACTTAGTTTATTACGCTACTATACTAAGTTAATGGTCAGATACTTAATTTTATGTCTGGAATTTTCAATTTACAATTCCAAATATTTTTACGCACACGCCAAACCGCATTAAGAGCGCGAAATATTAAATTGTAAGCATTCTAGTTTCGAAGTACTTACAATAAATATTACAATGTGAAAAACACTTTTAAATTTAAATACTGAGTTATTGCTCAGACGTAGGAATATGTTCTAACTATATGATATTACCGTACAGGACCGGATTTTGTGAAGAGTTTTGGGGGAGGCCTAAGTCCAGCAGTAGACGTCTTTCGGCTGAATTGATGATGATGATAAAAATGTGATATTACAGTATGTTACAATTTGGACATACCTTGTGCACATTGGGCCTCAACATAGTGTCCCCAAGGTGCCAGGTCACCGACGGCGGTGGCATACACCCCACAACCACGCAGTCAACCACGCGAGGCTGCCCAGCTTCGAAGTCAAAATTGTTGTTCAGGCGTATCTCGACGCTGAGTGGAGCCACTGATAAAAAAAAATATTTATAAAAAAAAGTGGTTTTTAATGTTAGCGCTACAAAAAACACATGAATTTCTAACAGCATTCATCAATACTTTAAACATGTTTGATATTAATTATTTGTATTAGGTAATATTTGATAATGATTGATAACGAAGATATTCTGTGGATACAGAAAATCGAAGTTGGTTTGTTTATTAATGATTTAATTAAAAATAGCTATTTAACACTGCCCCGCTTTTTTTTATTATCCTTAAATAACTATAAATACTAGCACATGAAAAAATTAAAAAAATTACCGCACGTATCAAATCCAGTAAAATAAAAGTCTAAATTTATGATATGACTATAATGAGAAGTTATGGATGTTAAAAATGATAATAATAATAACTTCACACATCTCACACACGGAAACAAACTATAAATACACAACCTAGATTCCTAAATACATACATATTATAGATAAATTACACCCAGACACAGAACAAATGGTCGTGCTCACAAAGTTATTTGTCCTGGGTGAGAATTGAACACGAACTTTGGTTTAGCAGTCAGGATACTAATGTAGATTACTCACAATACATCTTAACAACCACGCTGGCGGTCAAAGGCTCTGTGACGTCAGCATTCTGCGCCAAACACTCGTAGTGCGCGTCTAATTCAGCACGTGTCACGTTTCGCACGTGCACCTCAGCACGCAGCACGCCCGGACGCACGACGTGAGCACGCTCTATCACGACGCCGTTACGACGCCAATAAACTAATGTGTCAGGCTGATCTGGAAGAAACCATTCTCTTTACACAACCCAATAAGTGGAGCAGACTTGTCACCTGAAGGTATGTGACTACCACTGACGCTGCATCTTTAGAAATACAAGTGAGTTGTCGGCCTTTAAGCCCCCACTGAATTAGAAGAGGGAAGGTTTGGGGTAACTTCACTCACTCGGTGAAATTCAACGAAAGTAGTTTAAACCTCGCGACCTTAGAGTCATTCTGGAAACAGAGCGGAAGTGGTTTCATTCTGTTACCATGCTGATTCCAGAGCGTTTTCCAGACTTTAAACAAAGCGGATACATCCTGATACCAAAATGTATCCAAAGTGGATGTATGTTGAAACCATGGTAAATAGATTTAAAAACAGAGTGTTTCTCGAATGATTACATATTGAAATCATATTGTATTCATACTGAAACTATAGTCAAAACATGTTGGCATTTTGGAACCAACATGATTAAAAAAAGTTTCCATACTGTTTACATAGTGTATACAGAATGAATTTAAGGTCGCAAGGGAACTTCGGCCAAGCCGGCCTTTACCGTAGTAGATATGTCTTTTTCCTTTTTTTTAAGTATAAATATCAGTCATGGAATTGCTTTTCTCCAGAGGCAGTCTCACTTCAGTAGAAACAAATAAGCTTATTGCAGTTTCAATAACCCCTAGGCCTGTCCTCCCGTACTAATAACTATGGAAGTGCTCTGGCAACTCCTCTAGAGCCTGGGGCATAGTATCTTGGAGACAGTTTTTTTTTCCGAAATCTAATACATAGATACTTAATTATTATCTAACGTATGTCATATAGCCAATCTGTACGTTTTTCAGTACAAAGTACCTTAATTCTAGTGATACCCGTTTAAAGCAAACTTCAGTACCTCAGAGCAAGATATTTATAGAACGTAATGTGTATGCTTACAAATAAATACAATGTTTGTGAACAAACGATAGTGCGATTCAATTCGACACTAACGCCATCTAGGCCGAACATGGTAATTATTTTACCTAGTATTACTAACCTATTTTGTTTAACAATGGTTCCCTTTTTAATTAACAACAGTACATTACCTTTTTTATTATTTGTTATTATATTAGCTTTATGTTATTTTATTGAAGTCTGTAAACAATCATTCAAATATGGTTTTAGCGCCAGTATAAATGTCGCCATATCAAAACTGACGAGATGATGAAAGAGATGGTGGAAAGGTAAAAGAGATGTGGATGATAGAATGTGCATGAATACTTACTGTCATCAACCTCACATATCAAAGTGAGATCTGATCCAAGACTAAGAGGTCCCACATGCCCCTTGGTGATCTCGTCACCTACTTCATTGTAGATTCTGGGTATGCCAGGGGAATCTGTGAAAAAATATAACTCTGATGATAACCGAACAAGATATGGCGAGTTTATAGATTTTTCATACCGTATCAAGTTCATACACTATATTTATTATGCTAACTGCTGTAAATTTAAATGCTAACCGTGTAAGCCGTTTCCTTTTTTTCTTAAATCGAGTTCAATTAAATTAAACTCGAGTTTTCCGAGTTTTGTTGTGACTCCTGAGTTGCCGACCTTCATGGGCGGCGATGGTTACTTTCCATCAGGTGACTGTTCGTCTGCCCCGTCAAACGTAAAAAAAACATCATAACCTTCAAATTTTCACATTTTTCAATCCGCTAATCTTTGCATAAGTGCTGTATAGAGAATTTCCTTAAGGTATTACTGCATCGATAATATATATACCTGTCGATTTATTAGTCGGATTTAAATAATTCTTTGGAATTAGAATAGCAGTATTCAGTGAGAAAGGTTAGGTCATTGCAACATCTCGCTACGGTCTTTGAGAACGAATCAGTGAAAATAAACGCTTAAGTACATAATTTATATTGTATTTTGAACATATACTCACCAACTAGTCTGATGTCAATGACGTAATCCACTGAGGGGGAAGCCTGGTAGTGCACCCTACATCTGTACTGCCCGCTGTCCTGATCCGTTACCCTCTTTAAGAGGAGCGAAGTGTCGTCATGGCAGGACACACCGTCGCAGGATGAACCAAAGATACGATCGTGATACAAAGTCCTGAATATGATTATATTAAGAGCTCTATTGACATAGACAAAAAAATATACTTGGTTAATTCAAAAAGTCTATATGTTGCCCTATACCTATAACTAACAATGGGTGACTAAAGGCTGAAGAAGAAAAAGAAGTGCTCTAACACATATCTTAATCTCATAAGTCCCTTTGTTCTATTAAAACCACGAATTAATCTACTCAGTTCAGTACAGACCTGAATATTTGAGTAACTACTTAGAATAATATTTTTTACTACTACCATTTTTTGATATTGCGATTAGGCTTGCCAGTATGGCCGGGAAATACGGGAGTTTTCCTTAAGCCATGAAGACAACGTTTAGTCCAAGTTGTGCGAAGCCATACGCATCATACCAAGAGTCACCATGGAAAAACAAATGCAGTTGTCGGCGTACGTCACTATTTTTCCTTTTGTGAGTAAGAATTGCAAGGGGCATTAATGAAACACAGAAAGAGCGTGGGTCCCGGACGCTCCTTGGGGCACCCCGTAGTGATAGATCCTAACGATGTGCCCCCCCAATCTTGCAGTCTGCCAGTCAAAAATCAGAAAAAAAAGTTAAGTGAGTGTTACGGATCCACCTCTCAATTTTTACCAATAATAGTCGTCAGTAACTTATATTATAAAAAAAAAAAATTTAATAAGATTTATGGAAAAATTTTATATTTTTATATACACCAAAACCGCAGTCTCCTCGTTAGGGAAACCGATAGAGAAAATCCCGGGGTTCTTGACCCAAAAGCACATAAGAATAGGCCCGTCAAGAAACATTTTCCCGGGCCGCACGGGAGTCTCGCATCACGATCACGAACGCCGAAGAACCATGTTTTAATAAAACAATTAATACATTTATATTTCGGTTTGTGGTTTTCGGTAACGTTATCCTTTTTTTTTATTTTAAAAAGTGGTTATATCTATTAGAATAAGTATTCAAAATTTACTGTTTTTTACATTACTTGATGATCTTGGTTTACCCCCCCCAGTTGAAGTTTTCTTGGACCTTCAAAAGACATCGTTATATTTAGTGAATTTATATGAATTATACATTAAAAACCCAGAAAAACGCAGCCGGGGGATTATTTTTAATATTTTGGTCACCTAGTTTTTTTAGGTATAGGAGAGTAGACGGCAGAGGGGGTTTCCTAGAAAAATCCAGAGTCAAAAATACATTGCCCCCTTTTTGAGTCCCCCCAACATTAGAGGGGTTTCGTACATCAGTTTTGTTTTCTTATACTCCTCCAACTAGATGCTTATTTAAGAATAGATACAGAACAGTTTGTCAATATATAAATGAATAGCATGGTCATAGACTAGAGGGCTCATCTTCAATATATAGTAAATTTCTAGTTACAGATGCCCTCTAATCTGCTCAGCCTATTGCTTACTAGGGATGGAATAAAATCCCCATTATCTGTGATAAATCATATGATTCGCTGTGTTTACTGTTCACTGTGTCTACTACCAATCACTTCATCATATGAATATGATTTTAAAGTAGCAATTGTTTCCATGTCACTTGCTTACAGTCCAAATCCATCCGTTTAAGCAATAATCCCCTTCCCTTTCCCTTCCCTGCATTCCCTTATTATTTATCTTTACTTTTAATATACATAGCTAATCGCAATCTTCCCTATTAATCTATAAGTTGCACTGTACCTAAACGGCAATAAGTTTGCTCATTATTAAGTAAATACCACTGAAATGATAAAATAATGGCAAAATTAAACGTTCATTCTTCGTAGACGCAGGCGTGAGCTTGTGGATATGTTAAAACCCAATGCGATGGTTTCTAAACTACAAAAACAATGTCTTGTAACTCTTACCAGCTTGTAAAGACAATATTGTCCTAATAAAGCATAACGACAATGCACATTTGAGCAGCATTTTCTGCAATAAAAAGGAAAAGTATGTAATCTATTGATAGTTTAATTAAAAGCATGTTGATTTTTGTTAATCAATATTTACTTCTATAATAATAATATATCCTTACACATCTCACACACGGCCGTCTGATCCCAAACTAGGCAGAGCCTGTACTATGGTAACCAGACTGCCTGATAAACATACTTATATATTCCTAAGTACATATTATAGATAAAGTACACCCAGACACAGAACAAATGACCGTGCTCATCACACAATATTTGTCTCGGGTGGAAATCGAACTCACGATTCAGTTTAGCAGTTTGGGTCGCTAACCACTAGACCAACAGGCCGTCAAAAGTTTCGTAGTAAAGTATTAAACATCCAATGTTGACTGTAATGTGATTATATCGTATTGTAACCGAAAATTTAATCGGTAATCTGCCTAGTCTTAGTAATATGTTACTATTTTACTACGAAAATACCTTTTATGAAGGTTGTGAGACTGAACTTTTATTACGAGAATTGCTATTCAGATCAATAATACCACCAATGTTAGAGACTCGGACTAGGTCCATAGTTTTTTCCAGTAATGAGATAATCACCAATTAAGTAATGAGTTGAAGACAGATTTTAACTTGTAACGTATTTGTTTTGGGCCAACAGTTACCGTTACCTGTTTCCACTACTTTCTATCACAAAGGTATGCAATTTTTCATCATCAATCATCAACAGTCTTTACTAATCGACCGTTGGACATAGGCCTCTCCTTAGAAAGGAGGTTTTGGCCTACTATACCACGCTGGCCAGAGGTTCAAGGTTTCCTTCTCTCTTGCAGTGCTGTTGTCCTGCTAAGTTTACTCAATTAATCGGCTCTTACGACACCCACGGGATAAATAGGGGTGGTGACATTCTGTATTCTTAATCCGTCACCACTGCGGATAATTGTTATGATACTTTTACTTAATAAAATAAACCATTAAGGATATAAAACCAAATTCTATTCAATTTTCATGAATAATTGCAAAAAACAAAAAGAATCATTCCATTCTGACATACCTACAGTTTCAGAGATTAGCGCGTTTAACAAACAAAATTCTTCAGTTTACTATACTAGTTCAGATAATAATCATTTTCCTTAAAAACATATGATTCATTAACATTTTACAGTAAAAAAAATTGTCCTTAGATTCTTGCCTAAGGATTAAAGTTTCATTTCAATTTTCATTTTATTCTATAACCGGCTATTTTCAGGGCAGCGATATTTCCAACGAAAACACAAAAGTGAAATGTTGTAATGCAGGAACGCAAACACGTTGCTACTCGTAGTTCCGTCAGCGGATGCTTTTAGCTTGATTTCATTAGTTCGATGCAATGTGGCTGTGTCCGGATTTTTTATGTAACTTCACCGTTCTTGTGGTATACAAACTGAATAGACTTTCTAACAGTTTGAAACATCTTTTTGATAATCCACTGTGGTGGCTGACATACGTTTTTTGTAGTAATAATAGTTTAATAATTTTGAAATATAGATTTTTTTGCCACACAGTGTTGTATTTTTTTTTATTCCTCTTTATCTGAATATGATTTAGGAGATATAACTAAAATATATCAGAGACCCTGGATAGAACATCACTTAAATCGACTTGTTCCATTAACATGATCCTTTATTGTGACAATGAATGAATAATACATAACTACAAGATATGAGGACGTACTGAGATGAATGCAAACCCTTGTTCAAAATAATGAACCATGAATACAGACAAACACAAAAAAAAACCATAGCTCCTCAATCATGAGTCATAGAAATAAAAAAAAAATTAACGCCAAACGCACTAACGCAAAAAGCCCTATTCTACATATCCCGTCCAGTTTAAATTTGACCTCGAGACACCAAAGACTCAGTCGTTTTTAATCCAATTAGTAAAGTGAACGAAGGGGTGGAGAGGGTCTAGTTACTTTGGGGGTTAGTTGCAGTCGCGCACGCAACTGGCACGGGTGAGTCACTCAGGTATTGTGTCGTTAAAGCGATCGTGATTAACAAGAAAGCAGAATTATTAGAACATTTTAATGAACACGTTCTATGTACAGTCAGGCCAAATAAAGTTAAATATAAAAAAAAGTAATGAAAATTTATAGAGTTTTACAAAATTAAGACATTAGAAGAACCCTGAAAACACCTCTTCGTTGTTCTACATTTGCCAATTAAATTCATAGTTTTCATGATTCGAATGACTCTAATAAAAGAAAACACTTAACTAACAATCATTTGCAGGATAAAGGTACCACACCAGCTAGATGACTTCAATCTCTTCTCCAAAATTTTAGGAAACTGTTATTACCTGACTTGTTAGTCTGACTGTTTTTAAATAAAATGTTAGTGGTAATGGGCTAGGCGTGTTGTAGTAACAGTTTATGTTAGTTACGAATAAAATGATATGCTCCTTATTACCAACATTTATGTTATATAATACTAATAATAACTTGTCACGTCTTACACACCGCCGTCTGATTAAACTATATCTCTAAATAAACACATATTATACGAGTATGTCAAACATGATCTTCGTCTTTAATCTATATATATATATATATAGGAGATTTTCCACGTATATAGTCACTCATCACGATATCTCTGGAAACCATTAGAGCTAAAGACTTGAAATTTGGTAGGAATATTCTTTTCACCGAGTAGAGGTCAGCTAAGAACGGATTTTACGAAATTCAAAAATAAAAAAATAAAATTTTAAATAATGTAAATAGCAAAACAACGTTTGCAGGGTCAGCTAGTACACAAAATTTGACCTGGGTGGAGATCAAACGTACGACCTTCCGGCTTAGCAGTCAGTATCGCTAACCACAAAAACCAACAGACCTCATCATCAACAACCTTTTATAGTATATTCCACTGCTGAGTATCGCCTCATAATAAATGATGATTTTTTTATCACATTCTACAGTCGAATCTCCATTTTTTTTCAAATGAGGTGATATAAATTTTCTTTCAGTCATTCAAATCTTAAAAAATATATATTGAATATTCATCACTTTAATATATACAACAAAGACATCATACAAAAATGGTCTGGGACTGTGTACAAACATATATCATTACACATTCATCGGCTGACTGTACCCCGGCCCCATTTCAATTCCATGATATTTTAGGTCGGAAATTAAAGGTGACATTTGTATTTGAGGCTACACAAAACAAGCCTTAGAAATGTGTCACACACACACCATTTATTACTCATTCAGTTTTTGAACTTTTGGAAACAAACTTTTTTTTTTTGTTGACGGGGTGGGAAAATCCCTTCGGATCTCCTACCCCTTGGGGCTCAGGAGCCAGGAGTAAGTGGTGATTCCACTAAAAACTAGGTGTCCTACTCTGGGAGACCCGGACCATGTTATTTCCTGGTCCTTTTTGGAAACAACCTATGGATTTTATTTTTATTTCTTTTTACGAAACTGAATCTAGCGCAAAGTGTACATATAGTTTTCCATTGACATAGTTTTATTACATCAATAAGCAATCAATAACTGCTGTACCGATTTAGATAAATTTACTATTTTATATGATAAAGGGCGGTAACCAAGGGCAAAACCTTTCACCGCCCTTTTCAGCCCCTTAAAGATGATTTCTGGGATTAAAACTATCCTGTCCCTTTCCCGAGACTGGAACTATCTCTTACTAAAATTCATTTAAATCGGTTCATCGGGTTAAGCGTGTAGAAGTAACAGAAAGACACACTTTCGCATTATAATACCCTTTTTTGTGGATATGGATGACATATCTCGTCTTTATTTATTTTTTGTTAAATCTCGATATATTTTGGGCCTTCTTGTAATGATATCTAATTTGCCAAGTGGAGTCTTTTTAACATATCTTTCATCAATTCATCATCAACAGCCTTTAATAGTCCACTGCTGGACATAAGCCTCTCCTTAGAAAGGTGGTTTTGGCCTACTATACACGCTGGCCAGACGGGTTGGTATAGGGTGTCTTGTGTTAAGTTTTTCCTTCCTCTCTGCAGTGCTGTTGTCGGCTCTTACGACACCCACGGGATGAATACGGGGTGGTGACACTCTGTATTCTTAATCGTCACCACACGGACAACACATATCTTTGTTTTTTTTTATTTCTTAATACAAAGACTGGCCAGTAACCACTAGACCAACAGGTCTAGTGGTTACTGACCCTGACTGCTAAGACAGAGATCATGGATTCGAATCACATCCAGGACTAATTATTGTGTGATGAGCACCATCATTGGTTCTGTATCTGTGTTTAATAGATCTATAACCACGATGTCCAATAAAATAAATACTTTATTTTACGTAAATACTTAACACAATATAGAACTTCTTATCGCAAATCTATAATTTATTAAAAAAAACAGGAAATATTGGTAAAAATGTATAAGTAATATACGGCATTGTTAAAATGGCTTATCGTTATTTTCATAAGGCAAGCCGCCAGCAAAGGACAGAATTACATAAAAGTAAAACAAATAAACAAAAATATAATTCGCTTCGCTAATAGTTTATCTCTTTAGAACATTGGTTTGTAACAGGAACAAAATTCAGCTGTTGTGGATCATCAGCCTATCGCAGTCCACTGCTGGACATAGGCCTCTCCCATTGCATGTTGTGGATATAAGTAATTAACACCTAAAAACTGTTTGGAGCTCCAAAACCAATTCTCGTAATAAAAATGCCGCTAAAATTCAGTTGGAATCAACTCTCAATCTCGTCTCTGTTAAGGTATAAAAGTTATTTACTTAGTAAAATAGTAAAGTATTACTAAGACTAGGAGATCACCGATGCAATTTTAAGTCACAATACGATATAATCACATTACAATTAACGTTGGATATTTAATACTTAAGTAGAAAAAAATATAGTTTAAAAAAAAGCGTTGGGTGCCTGTTGTGAATAATAAAAAGCACCCAACGCTTTTTTTCAAATTTATTTTCTATTTTTTAGTTTGGTTTTCTATAGAAAGTGTGTTTTTTAGT